GAAGCCGTTGTTGCGTTCAGAATCTATGTTTTAGAGTTACTTACATCAGAGTGGCAAAAGTGCTTGGAAAATTGGTTCGAGCTCGTGCAAAAGTGTATAGATCTTAATGTGGAGAATTTTGAAAGGCAGTAAAGCGATTTTCAATAAATAGTATTTGTTTCTGTTCTCAAATCTCAAAATATAAAAGGCAACCTACGTATCTTATAGTGCGATGAAAATGAAGTTATTGTGCGAAATAACTTATGGTGTAAAAAGAATACTGAACGATTCAGTGTACAGAAAATGGACACTCCAATTGAAGGAGTATGCACAGACTTCCACCGAATACCACCGGTGATGTGTCAAATTTTGTGTACAGGAAACTATTATTTGTTTCAAAAAAAGAGTGTAGAGTTAGCCGATTGCTACAACTTTGACAAAGAAGAAGGGAAGGCCGGCGTCAGTCGGGCGAACCGAGTGGTAGCATAGTAACACAATATCTTCGGCCCTTTGATTTCCCTGAACACGTTAGTGATACTCAGCCCTCCGAGATGTTGACGGTCGGTTTGCATCATCATGCCACGCCGTTGAGTGTTCTCGCTTTCTCGAATGCTCGTAGATCTCATCGATCGACTGTAATATCCTTGTCAGTTCTGAGTTTACTAACTCCAACTCACCTCTTTCCTGCACAAGGGTACACAAGGCCGTGCGATGCCTTCTTGAGTTGCAGTACTTGCACATCAGGCGCATCCTCCTTTCGGTGCCTTGTATCAAGGCGCAATTCGTAACCCACTCTCTTTTTCTTCTTGCACCGTTTTGCACTCAGGGCAACTGTCACTATAATGAAGTCCCCTATCGCATATCATCCTGAGTATCCTGTTCATTCGCTCCGTTATTTTTCTTCGACGTTGTTGTAGTTTTCGGTCTAGCCTTCTGCACCACCGTCCTGTCCAAGCGTGTTTGGTTTTTCTTCGCATTGCTATCTCTTCGGTTCCTCAAGCGTTGCTCTTTCGTCATATCCGGGGAAAGTGTTTTATTCTTCACTGCCAACTTCCCATAGGTCCTCAAGTACGTCTCCTCCAGAGTGTTCGCTCATCGTTCGTCTCTTCTTTATCGACCTCATCGTCAATATCCTTCGTGACTGATTTGAAATCATCAAGCTCTCTTTGTATGGCTTCAATAGAAGAGCTCAATGTTTCTAGTTCTCTTAGCCGTTGTAGTTAGATTCAGACTCGTGTGCAACTGGTCCATAGTTTTCTGGAACTGTGCCATTGTCTGCAAAATGGCTTTATAGATGTTTCCATGGTCCTCATTGGATATCTGCTGTGAAGCCTCATGTAACTCAGTGTCGATTCTTTGCTGAAGCTCATCCAAGATGTCGATTTCCTTTCCAACAAATTCATTCGCAAGCAGTGGTTCAAATGGAATGCCGTCATGACTTTGGCCGTAGAAACTTTCCTTTGACTTTTTAGTGGCAACATTCGCTAGAACGAGTGTCCATAGGTTACGCCGCACATGGCCACTCCTTGCATAGCACTGAGAATTCTCTCCTTGACGAGCTGAACCTTCATCTGCATGTTTTGAACCTTGCATTTATACAAGGTTCCTTCCTTCTTGGCAGGTGAGCCGCTCTCCGACTAGAACGGCGCTTTCGTCTGCTAGATTATTCGACTGCGTCAGTATTGAGCGCTGTTTGGGCTTTGAGCTTACTGACATAAGAGAAGTATCCAAATTTTTAACGAGCTATCACAAGCGCTTTCACACATTAATTTGCAGGTAGCACAGCTGCTCGGGCTCATGCATTCGAGGCTGGTGATGGACCTGATGTAAAGACTACCTGCACGTCCTTCAGACCCGTGTTCAACCGATCTTCACAGGCTAAACCAGGGGATACGACCGTTCGTCTTTTTTGGTTATCTCTGTTATGCTATAACGATACATATGGCAAGATAGTATGAATACATATGTATACTTATGTACACAAAAAGGTTGCATCCATTTTAAAAGCAACAGAATGCATACTCTCTTCAATCTCGATTTTCGATGACTTTAGTGCTAGTGATCATGAACGAGCTGGACTTCAGATAAAACTAAGCGCAGACACTATCACAAAGCAGAGATGAGGCACTAACATGTGCATTTTTCGGCCAGCTCTACATAGGCTATGGAAGAATGTCGGCCTATAAAAGGGAAGAAGCCTAGTGGAAAATATTTTTAGATGACCGACATCGAAACTTTGAAGACTCTGACTGCGGAACAGCGCGAGGCACTTGTCAATATTATTCGCAACAGCTCCATATGTAAGCAAGTCGCATTATTTTTTTTTGCATAGCCTTTGGAACTCTCATATAACTTTGTTTCAGTAGACCATCCTCTGAATAATCTACAGCAAGCACTAGGTGCACCACCAATGATACATTCACAGAACTCGGGACTGTTGCGCAACAACCTCAGTATGTTTGCAAAAAATAGATAGTATGAATTTTGAGCAAGCTCTGTTGTTGCGATGCTTTCCTAAACTTGCCTTCCTTTATCGAATGCGATTGCAGTCTGTTTTCGAGATTGACATGTATATTCACTTTATACAGGCTGATGCGCAAGAAGTCACTGTGAGGGATTCACCATTTCAGAGTCTTACTTTAATTTCTCCCATAATTTTCAGATCCTGTTTCGAATCCAATCATGACATCCAACTTAGCGGACTTCACATTTTCACATTGCGGTACAGTAAGTATATGTAATTCATTTTGGATCTTCTCCTCATGCAAACAGAAGCTGCCGAAAGTTGAATCTCAAAAATCCAGGATGTTTAAGAACCCCATCACTGCAATATCCGTGGTCCCGCGTCGAAGCAATGGTAAGAGGCGTTCAACAAACTCACACAACTCATCATGGCTAACCTAACCTTTATTGGATCTACGCATACGAGAGGTGTTTGAAGTGCAGTAGTTTTTCATACAATATGTTGTGGTTGTTTTAGTTGGTTCTGGTTGGAAGCGATTTTAACCGAGAACATTGTCACAATCACAAAAAAAAATCTTTTTTCTTCTCAAAGGTATTTGCTGCCTGTACCCATCGTTACTCTCTTTGAACCTATGGGAATTTCACATTGACGATTAGAAATACTTAGATTTTGCTTCTTTCATGTTTTGTTGTTTGCGAAATACGTATTTATTGCAAAAGCGCAAGTTCCATGCATACGATTTGAGTAAATGTGGTCAAACTGTTGGATATAGAGTTGTCAAATAAAATTCCCCATATTTCTGTATATCTAGAGTTTTGTAGAAAATATTTAAAAGCTTTATATGTTCATTTATATGTACCTTTAGCTTTATAGCTGAGAGAGATGCAGTTGATTACCTGCTCGTCTTCCCAGGTGCATAAGCGATGCACCTGGGAGGACGCGCAGGCGATCAACTGCATCACCTGAGAAAAACCTAAGAACTTCATATAGAGATCGTTCAGGAAATAATGTAAGCAATATTGCTGGAATTCCAGCGAGTAACAAATTATAAAAGACTAGGCATCTGTATTTGGGCGTGATTTGCATTACTTCAGTTTTTAGTAAGATTTTTGGTATTCATCTACGCGGATTGTATGTATTGAACACAAGGATCTTTGCTGAATGGGAAAGGGAGGATGGTAGATGTACGACTACGTGAGAATAACTCCTTTTATAACCAAATTCGCCTTCGTTTTCGAACGCAAAATTACGAGTGGGTTTGTATATCTCAAGATGTCACATTTGTAGCTCGCCACACCGATATGCTGATCATTTCGTTGCATATGATGTTTGATAATAGTTACTTTATATTGTGTGGGTTTATCAATGTTAGCAGTGAAACTGACTGGTGTGAAGATGTTGTGATGTAGCCGTTATTTTCTGACAATAAATATTTTTGCGATGGAGAAGCGAGTTAAACAGGGTCGAACAAAAGAAGTCAACAACAAAGTATTCATGTAAAATAATCACGGAAACATCAAATATAAACTTAGCACAAAACACTGCGAGATTTCCTTACCGGGGCAATGTATCTCTACCACACATAAAGGCTACACGGCTAAATGAGCGGAGTTATTAAATGACGCTGTATAACCTGGGAGGTCTCTAGGTAGAATTTCGTCCTCCACGGTTTCCAGTCCAGCAACCCGTCATCACTCCATCCGTCCTACGCCTGCACCTCTACAGAATTTGAGAGCTCAAGGTACCACGTCAAAAGATTATATTGCCCCATACTCCACCTCCAGTGGGCGGAGTCTACACCTGTCAACTGCCACTGGTTTCCCTATTTTGCCACCTGCATCTTTACCAGATTTGAACGCTCAGTTCTCAATTAGCAGCTTTGGGGCAGACCGCGCCTTAAGTGGGTGGAGTTTGTACCTGTCGCGTGCCCTTGGTATCCCCATATTGTCGCCTGAATTCTTTTCGAATTTGAACACTCTAAGCTTAGGAGGATAGGAGTTATAGATTTCTAGTGGACTATATTTTCACGCACGCGACGTTCTCATGTAGCTCGGCTCATTTCCCCATTGTTCTAACCTGACTCAGCTGTTCCAGCTTGATTTCTAAAACTTTTATGCTCTTAATGTTTTGCTGTCATTTTTAATGACATCTAATGTGTCGATAGCCTATTGATATCAATTTTCAATCTTATTTCTCTTCAGAGGTGATAGGCTACTTTACTTTCACATTTTTTGCTACAAGGCCGCGTGGACATCAGATAACTGACAGGTAGCAGGTCTGATGAGCATGGTGGGTACGATAGGTATTTCCTCTGATGACTATCGTAGAAATTACAGAAGCAGCACATGGTCTATCACCAATTGCGGTATGTATGTATATGTTTAATAGGTCAAATAATTTCCGGTTCGACATTATCCCTATATTGTCTTTTTTTCGAGTTTTCGGTGTAGGGAGCGAACAGTCCTCGGGTGAGAACGTTTTTCTGGCCAGCTTGCAATCAAAGTGGTGGTCAGCTCCATGATTCGAATGAATTCCCCCTCTTAACGCAAACGTAGATCGTCGTTTCGACTCTTTCGAGTCTTTTGCAAAAATTGGCAGGGAGGCATCACATGATGTGTTCATAACCGAAAACAGGTTATATCAGTGGTAAAGTGTAGAAGTGTGTGTGTGAAGATGCCCATGTGGACGGTGTGTTAAGCCGTTCCCTGGATCGCGGCTGAAGCCAACAAGAGATGCTGACTACTCGTTCATTATAGATCGTGCATCGTATAGGCGGCGGCAGTGGATGGCGGAGGGAAACCCTCTGGAAGAGAGGAGCAAGACACGTTAACAAGGCGGGGTTTCATGAGGTGCTTTTGGTTTTCTTGTTCAAATGGAAGGTTCACGTGGCAAGTGAAATGGAAGTAGTTAAAGAGGGAGCACGGAACCGAGTGTTGCTGTCAGCAGAAGAGAGAATAAGCGTGTAGGTAGATAGGACAGATAAAAAAATTCTAGATGAGCAGGCGGTAGTTTATTTGGTGGCCGGTTATCCTTTCCACGTAAACCAATATGTTCTACCCATAAGTCGGAATGGCAAAATGAAACAGTTTTCATACCTATGTTAATACTTCGGGCTAACAAAAGTAATAAGATACGGCCCGGGTAACCCTTACTTCAGCTAAGTTTCTTTCTTCCAGTGACAATAAGAAAGAAAGTTCTACATATGTAGACGATAATCGGTAAAACATCTAATTGAGGAGTACAGTGGGTGCTACAGTAGTTTACTTCTAAGCCCACAATGGTTTTTGGCGAGCTGCAGAAGCAATGTGGGTGTGTCATTATCAAAGTATTTCTATAACAATTCTTCCTTATTCTGATCTTTCTATAATATCTTTCTCGCCATCTTCTTTTGCTGCTGGTGTTCTTTGTTCAGCTCACTCATCTCTTCCTCTTTCCTCCAAAGGGTTCTCAAGCGATACTTTTGAAAATTAGGGCAGTCTCGTAGCTGTGATGAGCTTTGTAGAGTAGAAAGTTGAATAAGTTCTCGAACTTACTCTTAAATGATTTGTTTAGTGCTCCAAGCAAATATTGGCCGTTTTATTTTGCATGCGCGCTGATAGACTTCTCATCACTATGTCTGGCTACCCGTAGCTTGTCGTTTAGACTCTTTCGAGTCGTCCAAAAATTAGCATGGAGGTTGCGAGCTTGATTAGGTCTAAAAGTCCAACTAAACAGTATGAGATTTTGAAAATTTGTAAAACCTTGACTTGATTTTTACCCGGACTGTAGCCAACGAAAGCGGCTGGCTAGTCATACATTATACAATAGATCGTGCGTCGTATAGGTGGCGGCAGTGGATGGGAGAGGGAGAGCCTATGAAAGAGAGGAGTAAAACATGCTCACATCGCATGTTCTATGGCTGTTTTCGTAGTCCACGACCAGTCGCGCGACCGGTCGCGGACCCATCTCGCGAGCGACTGGCGACCAGTCGCGCGACTGGTCGCTCGCAAAATCGTGGACTATGAAAGATGCCTATGAGGTTCAAATCCTGCTATTCAAACGGAAGATTCGCGAGGCAGGGAGCGCTAGACTAGGAAAAAATACAAAAACGGTGTTGCTATCAACAAGCGAGAAATTAGCATGTAGATAGGGTAGCTTAAAGAAAGCCTAGCTGGGAGGGCGGTTGCTCATTTTAGCGGCTGATTCTGCACCTCACCAAGTCAACCGATAAGTCCTGCCATTCTGAGAACGAAAAAAATGAAGCAATCCTCAAGGAAAGCTGTAGTTTCGGAATCCATTCGCTGCCATTTTCATGGTACCTAGCAAGCGAGTGGCATATTTCTGCCGGTTGTCGGTTCTTATAGCCATAGCTGGGAAGACACTCATCTTTGAATCCCCTATTTCAGAGGGATATTATTATATTTTTAGAGGTGGCAAAGTACTGCTCTTGGTCTACCCCTACTTCACCTGAAATTCTCCTACACGGATAATTGAATAGGTGCTAGAAGAGATCACTTCTTGCCCAGAATTATTATTCGAAAAGCTGTAGAAGCTTTATGTGAGATGTCATGCTCAAAATATGCCATAAGCAAACGTCATAATGTTTTCATCGCCATCATATTTTGCCCCGGTGGTTTTTGTATAATTCATTCGTACCCTTTCCTTTCCTGCAAAACCGTTGCGAGCAGCGTTCAAAAAATCTGGGCAGACTCTCACCGGCGGCGAGCTTTGTAGAACAAAATGTCGATTGAATAATTGAATTTATTATACTTCTGACTAGTTTGATTAATGTGCTGTCGGCTCTGCAAATGTTGGTTGTTTTGATTTCCCATGTTCATTGACACCGCTCCAATCACTTCCTCTAGTTGGCTGTAGCTCGTCGTTTCGACTCTATCGAGTCTTCCAAAAATTGGCAGGGAGGTTACGAACTTGAGTGGGACTCAAAAGTCCAACTTGACAGTAACCGAGGAAAATTTGTAAAACCTTGACTTGATTCGTGCCCGGACAGGACAATTACGAGTTAGACCTCACCCGTTAGTCCTTCCCGTTCCCTGGGACGAGGCTGAAGCCAACGAACGTAGCTGACTAGTCATACATCATAGATCGTGCGTCGTATAGGCGGCGGCAGCAGTGGGAGCCCCAACTCTTCGAGAGAGAAGCGGAGATAAGCTGGTTTACTTTGCGGTTTTTTCAGTCGGTTCAATTCCGGTCTGCGGTTTAAGAAACGGCCAAAGGAAAACAAAGGTCCTGAAAAGTAGTTAAAGGAAAGAATATTAACACAGGGGGAAGTAGGCGTACCAATAGACTAAGAAGCAAAATGACCAAGTGATGTCGGAAATCAAAACCTCGATGTAAAATGAATTTGTTAATTTCGAGAAGCAGGAGGAAAAGGAAAAAATTCATCCAATTCCATCATTCATTCGTCACACGTCAATCCCCTTGCTCTCGGTTTCTTGCAGC